TGATTATGTTGGATATTTTGTTGGAGAAAAGGTAATTTTGTCTTCATGAATAGTCTCACATGGAATAGTGTTATGAATAAAATTAAAACGTGCGTAACGGCTATATATTATGGGGAACGTTACGAAAATGTATGACGAACGTTACCGTATTAATTGTAGGAATTATAATGCCTTCCACAACCCTATATGTACACCCCTTATTCACATTCGGAAAAGATACAGAAACAATTCTCTCTTCTTCCTCTTCTCTCATCTACATATTGTTTTCGTTCATATGTTGGTGTTATTTTTGGGCAACCGTTCTTCGTCTGAGCTGAAGCTCTGTTCTCTCGCCTGAGTACAGAGACCGTCCGCTTTCGGGGGTTTTTACCTGTAGGGGAGAGAGGATCATCTGCGTCAGGGCGATAGGCGGGTCCTCAATCTTCTAAGGTAGTGTTTACACGACTATTCCCGATCAGGTTAGACTTTCTTATTATTTTATTTCGGATTTATTTTACATGCTATAACATTTGATTTGATAAATTTCCAACAGATCATTTGTCTATTTGCATTTGCAGGAGGGAGGGCTATGCATAGGCATCGAAACTGTTCTTCAATCAAAAGTCTTGTTATCCTGGTTTTCAACTTGTATCCTTCGCCTATATAGAGTTATGTGTGGGCACAGAATATGTTCATGGATAACGTAACAATACTTCATATTATCTGCTTCTCTAAATCGAATAAAAAGTCTTCAACTAAAGCCTTTGGAGTAGTGTCTTCTGCTGAAAAGCCAAGGATTAGATCATGTTTCTATTCTACGTGGTAATAAGGCATATCCACACTAAGACCATATAATTTTTAGGGAAAATTGCTTCTAGCCTCCAAAATAACAACTATTCTTCCCACACTCAACATTTTTTCAACACTCCCAAAATCCCCAAAAGTATAGCCACAATTCTCTGAGCCCTCAAATCATAAAACCCAAGAGTTTAAAATATGTAAAGATCATAATATCCTTACTCTCTCTCTCTTCATAATGTTACTGTGATGATTTGAAATGAGTTTTTGGGGGAAAAATTCTAGTTCCCTCCAAAATTTTCCAACGACGTCGACATCAAAAGAAAC